AATATATATATATATATATATATATATATATATATATATATGTGTGTGTGTGTGTGCAACAAGAAATGGTGATGAAATGGAAATAACCATTACAGGTGGTACGGTGTATAGTTGCCCGTAAGTTGCGCAAATCATGTTTAATGCACGACAGTAAATAAGATCAGTAAAAGACAAAAAAAAAAAAAGCATGTTACGTTCGACAAACGTACGAAAGAGGCAACTGAAGAATTTGGGAATTTGCGGCACAAGGATAAGAGCAAGCTAATACTGTATGAACCTACCCAGGCCTTCGAGTTCGGGAAAATTAGGTGCTTGGACTAGAGGGGCAACAGAAACAAATGACATTACTGCATTAGTATGAATCTATTGCTAGCTAAATGATGAAACCCGTTGTGCTAATCTGAAATAGATAAAATATTATTGGAGAGAAAGAGAGAGAGAGAGAGACAGAGAGATGATTGAGTAATTAATGCGGAAACAACAGTTACTAATACGAAAATCTATAACAATCGAACAAATCACACGTTATATAAAAGTGATACAATTTGTTTTTAAATGATTATTCGATTATTATATTGGAGAGATTGAGACGTAAAATTTGATATTCTATAAGCTAGGTATGCTTTAAAGTGTGACAATTAAAACGTCATTTCAAATTGAAACAAGACGCGTTCGTCATGCACGTGGCACAAAGGGTTTCAAGATTCTGAAGATATATTCGTATATTTTGTTTTTAAAGAAATATGTTATGAAAGTGCTTGTTGTTAATAAAATTTTTATAATAAAATGTCATTTAATAAAGTACATATTTCTCAAAGAAATCCAGCTCAAAATATGAGATTGATGAAATTAATTTATGTGCGTTAACGGCGCACATAGAATATATGTTACTTTCTTTTCAAATATTCAATAAATGTTTTATATGTACATCGAAGAAAAGTGATATTTAACATTTATTTAATAAAATAATACATGGGATTGACAATGATAAAGAAGTATGATTTAACAATGATAGATCTTAATGTACACCAAGATAAGCGCATTTGGTTACTAATCTCGAATTTGCCTGGCGGTTTAAAACGGAAATTTAACGAAATTTCGAAAACATGAAAATAATTGTTCTCGCGCAGATAATAATTTATAGCCAAAGGCGCTCGAAATTCTTCTGAGATAGGGACAATAAACTGGCAAAACAACACGGTTTAAAAAGCTATCTATGCGTTTTCGGGCAAGTGCAGTGCGTGATGTATTAATCCCGTTTGCCATTCCCTTATCGTCACTTATATCAATTTCTTTCTATTCATATCAATACTATAATATTAAATATAAATGACATATGAAAGTAACAGATAAGTGTTTTCGTGTAAAAGGAAAGTCTGTTGGAGTATGTCTTCATGATTATTAAACTATCCATTCCGGTAGGACGTGAAAATATTTTATGGATACGTCTCTATGCGAGCGTGATACTTACTGTCAAAACTCACAAACAATTCCGGCATATCCTCGACCGAGACCATACTGCGGTAATCCAATCGCGGTGCTGTCGTGGAAGTTTTGCTACCTCGACTGCTATCGACACTACTGCTGCCGGAAGATGTTAAAGGTTGTTGTCTAATAAAAGTACCCACGGAAGACCGTCTGAAAGGAAATTTGTGAAAAATTTCCAGTTGTAAGAGAGAAGGAACAAGTTTTTTTTTTGTTAGACAACATTCCAAACGCTTCTGAACAACAAGTACATGTTAACTGTTAAATTTCTAAACTAAATTATATCACGTCACGAGTTGGCATATCCTCATAATTCAGAAGCGATATGTATAATACATCAATAACAATAGCAATAAGGAACATTAACAATCAAGGTGTGTCTAGTATATATATGACGAATAATAAATCATGTGATTGCTTGAGAATATTAAACAATGTATTAAATTGATTATGTGTTGGCTAATTACTAAATGATCTGAAGAACAGTACCAGCAGTGTCTATCACCAAAGTTTTTCAACAAATAACATGATTTACCTGAGAGCAGGAGTCCTCAATCCTAGAGTGTCTTTAAAATTAAAAAAATAATAGCGAAACAATGGAAAACTGTGTGGGAGAGAGAAACATTTGTATAATAAAATCCTCAAAACATTTTGACAATATATCTAATATTTTATTGCTGTAATATTTATGTTTATATATAGATTTTTAAATAATACAATGTCTCTCTCATAATTATAAGTCAGAGAGGATCTTACTGGGACAAAATGTTTCTAAATTGACAGGTACACATATGGAAGCTGATTAGACGAAAAGTAGATTAGGTAAAGAATAGAGAGGACTAAGGAAAAGTGGAAGCACAACATTGCAAGGTCATGATCGGGATCCAGACTCACCCGATGAGGCCTCCTGGACCAGGTGAGAAATTGCTGGAGTCCTGGGAGAGAGAGGAGGCGGTAAGCGGAGGAGTTCCGCCCGCTCTACCGCCCCCGCCACTCTCTTCGCTGGGGGTTTTAGCAAACAGGCCCGAGCTAAAGTCACTCACCAGGTTGATCGGCGAGCTTTTTTCCACCACCATTACATATTCTTTGTTAGTTATGTTAGAAATGGTAGTAAAGCATAATGAATATCTAACTTTGTATTATAAGCAACGTAGACGCAGCATAAACGTCTTCAAGTTCCCTTATAATCAAGTTCCCTCATAATCGCGTAATAATTATCGATCTTTCGGAAACAATGAGTGGACCGACCATCTATCTAATATATACCTTCATACACTTATATATTCCTTTCACGAGTTTTGTACCCCGTAACGCTTTTCATATGCCATAAGCTCGTCCTATGCGAGTAGCTAATGTACACTATGTTACAACAAATGAGGCTATATCTGTTTCACAAAGATAAAATTAACTTCATTTAGCAAAAAATGACGCAATAAACATATTACACAAGGAATAATTGCTAATAAATAACCTCATTTGTATACTATATTTTCTAAAAGTTCGCAAAAAGCAAATTAAAATAAAAGCGATAAGATCGTCCGTTTCGTTTGTCTGTAAATATGCATCTTTGCAGTTACTCATTCTTAACACAGATAAATAGAAGAGTGTGAAAAGCAATTGTAAAAATATTATATGTTCAAAGTAATTTAAATACGCTAAATTATTTGTCGATAATTATCAAAATGACATAAATTTGTTCACCTCGAAAAGACTTTGCTGAAAACAGAAGAGTGATGGGAATCTGCACTATTCGGAAGGCTTGACATTTTATCAGAGATGGATTTACTGCTGTCGTCATCTTTTTCTCCAGTTAAACCTTCCATCCAGGACAATGGATATGATAGACGTTTTAGCATCTAAGATATTAAAGAGATTTCATATAAAATATATTTATAAAAAGCACCGCGTTATTGCAACGCAAACGTTAAACTTAAATATGTACCTTGTTCTTTCGAGTTTCCTGTTTATCATCCTCTTTATGCTCTTCATCCTTCTCGGGTTCTTCTGCGTTACTCTCCAAACTAAAGGACACCGAGCTGGCTTTCTTCCTGCCATTAATAGCTGAAGTGGCCTCCAACGAAGATGTAATATTCGTTGGTGCTATTGTTATCGGCGGAACCCAATCCGAGGATAAGACAATGTCCGCGTCTGAGTAAACTTTTTTCGATGGTATAGGCTGTACTATTGGAATAGGTGGATTAGGATCACGGATATCAATACCAGAATCATGGCACGACAATTTGACTAGAGATCCTTCTTCGTCTTCAGGAATGGCATTTGATTTAGTTGGTTCCGCCTATCGCAATAAATAATTCATATATGATATTCAGTTGTAATTATATAAACTTTATTAAATTCGCATGTACTATTACGACAGAAATATAAATTACCTTATCAGAATTTAAAGAATCTTGTTGTTCGTCATCAACAGAAAACGTACTCCGATCTTTGCTAGGAACTGCCCAATGATGATCAAGCATAGAACGTCTACGTTCCTCTAAAGTTCTACTAGCTTGACCGCCAATGCAAACTTCTTCTTTTTCGTTACTGTCTTTCTCTTTCTCCTTATCTTTGGTCGAAGTTGAATTCTCCTCCTGTAATAACGACATATTTATTAATTAAGATAAAATTAACACTTTATTTTTCATAATGAACGTTAACACGGCAAAAGAACACATACACTCTGAAGATTGGTGGGAGTGACAAGCTCACGCTCAAAGGCCTTTGGAAAAGCATCGCCGTCTCTTTCGGCGCAGCTACACACGCTCTCGCTATCGTCACCTGCTAATTCAGGAAAATTCTCCTCTTTTCCTGGAGACTGACACTTACGATTATCTACTTGAGGTTTTTTCATGTAATAAATTTCAGGTTTTTTGTCCAAATTGCCGGACTCGGTATGGGAGACTCTCATATGCGCAATATCATAGTAAATCGCAGCATTGACTACAAATTCCATTGGGGCAATCACTCCGTAAGATTCAGCACCATGCTCGATAACAAGAGGATCAGATACATTTGGATCAAACATAACTGCATTTGGTGTCACTAATAATACACCACCAACTACTCCCTAAAAGAATGACAAAAAAATTTAAGGAAAATTTTGAAAACTGAAGAAGTGTTAAACTACAAGATTTATAGGTATTAAAAGACAGATCTAAAAAAATTACCTGGCCGTCCGTGATATGCCTGACATTAATTTTTAGAAATCTTTCTCTAAATGGTTGTTCGTCCTCATCTGTAGTCACACCAGAAGTCCCAAGAGGTGTTTTAACCCGTTCCATATGGCCTGGTTTTGGTGACACTGGTCTCAGATTGTCCAGCAGTTCTGCAAAATCAAATATTATATCAAAGACAAGCGCACAATGGAGACAAACGTTTGATGAGATTCTTCATAATACATGTATCTTATTTTTCTTATAATTCCAAATTTTTATCTCTCGCCAGACGCACAAGTCTCGACAAGAAATTCGATTCCTAAGTACGTTGTTCATCTCAAGAATCGCGATGACAGATACATCCGTTTAACTTGGATCACTTTCAAGAGCTTATAACAACAATCTCGTTTCGAAAAATTTTGCAATCTGGCTGCAATGAGGCTTTATGGGGGAATGCGTGCAGGACGTAGATAATGGTTTTTAATCACCACTGTCCACGTCAGAGTTCGGGCTAACCTCACATCCAGAAAGTCGCGACGTGACTCGTTATTCGTCGCAGTAACGCGAATAACGAGTCACGCGTGTACAATTCCGACGAAATCGGCAATTACATCGTCCGTTTCATTTGCCTCTACGTCACGACCGTAGTAGCACGGTCATTATTACCGCTGGCATACAGGTTAGAACCATGTTTATGCGGCTTGCACCGCGGTCGATCAGCTGATGAGCGCGATATACCGGGTGACCCATGCGAACGTTCCAGGATTTATTCTTCATTTCGCAAACTGTCGTTCAGCGAAACGCGACGGTTTACGACCGACGATTTACAACTGTTGCAATTATTTTTTTCCGCTGAGAGGACAGGCTATTCCTGTGGATATAAAGAAACGAACCAATCTCAGCGGAAAATAATAAATGATTTCCTTCTGCTCATGGATGCATCCAGAGAGAAGGGGGGATTTAAATCCTCTCCCCGAAATTTAGAAAAAAAAAAAAAAAGTTAATAGATTAAAGTTACGATTTACAAACATCTAATATTTTTCTCATTCAAAATCAAGAACGAGATATTCTAAGTTTTAAAATATTTAAAAAGCAATTTATTAACGCTGTTTATATATAAATAGAATTGATAAAAACCCTTCCCCCCCCCAAAAAAAAAAAAAAAAGTACCTGGAAACTCACGTTGAACATGCATATTGCACACATATAACAGAGAGAAATAACTCGCAGAAAAACCAAAGAATTAAAATCAGTTTATCTCAATCTAAAGCCAAGTTAAATCAATCTATCTCAAATTAAAAAAAAAAAAGAAAAACAAAAAAAAAAAGAAACTTTTTAATCCTTTTGTAATCGATATGTATATCTAAGGACATTACATTTCCTTCGTCCATTTCCGTCAATGTAAATTACAACTTTTATTTCGGTTTAATTTATTTTTCTTATCTTTTTTCCGTGCTACAAATTCATAAAAGATTAAGTATAAATTTAATCCAGATTAAAAGTAATCTGCATAGTAGAATGAACATTACTTCTGTTATATAGAAATGTGAGATGATTTTGAAAAAAAAAAAAAAAAAAACAAAAATAGGAAAACCGCA